CAGGAAATGACGAGACGACAAAAAGACGAGACGAAAAAACCTCAACCGGGGCACCACCGTGACATCCATGGAGTTCGCGTTTTCTCCCTCTGTCAACCTGAGGTCTCTCTGGGCACTCTAGCTTCCACCCACCTTTCAAACACATACATTGGGTAAACTCCCCCTAAGAATGTGGTTGTTTTGTATCTGTGTTGCCCTGCAATGGAAAGGTCATCTGTCCAAATGGGTAATAACAAGAGTAAGACTGACACAGGACTGAACAGTACCCATCCATCCATCCATCCATTATCAATACCGCTTATTCCCTAATGGGGTCGCAGGGGGAACTGGAGCCTATCCCAGTGGTCAACGGGCGAGAGGCAGGGCACACCCTGGACGGTCCGCCAGTCTGAATAGTACCATTTTAAGATAAAATGTGACCATTGTGAGGAAAAGGAAACAATAGAACATGCTATAGTAGACTGTCAGAAATATGAAGATTTATGTGGAGACTTTGAAAAAAAATGTTTTAAGTTTATTACAAAGGAAATTTGGAAGAAAGCATATACACATTATAAGATAAAAGATATAAGATTTTTAAAAATAACAAAATTCCATCAATCATTATCGTTACCGCTTATTCCCTAACGGGGTCGCGGGGGTAACTGGAGCCTATCCCAGTGGTCAATGGGAGACAGCGGGGTACACCCCGGACGGTCCGCCAGTCCATCGCAGGGCCATATAACCAAATCATTTAACAGAATCACGAACCACACTCCAGTTGGTGGCGTAATGCACACCTCGGGTTTTTGCCAACCGCCAATAAACACAAGAAGAAGAAAAAGAACTGAGCGTTGCGTTGCGTCATGACGTTGTACGGACGAAACGGAAACGTCTGCGTGAGTGCAGAAATAGTGGCTGACAAGCAAAGTGGAGTGCTCTCTTTACGTATTGTCAGTAAAGTAACGTATATGGCGAATAAGTAGAGCCAGTTCGTTTGCTTTAGACTCTCGCGCAGCACAAGCACCTCTTAGCTCACCACTTGATGCTGACGGATTTTGAGGCGGCGAGGAGCTGCTAGCTTCTAGCTACCGATGAGGCAAGTGTGTTGATCCTTCGACTCACTCTGCTGTCTGCCGTTATTGTGTAAAGAAATGTCCAAGCCGTGAAGCTTGCATTGCTATACGTAAGGCAATACTCTCGTTTAAAGATGGTGTCCCCATTGATTAGCTTTGAAAGCTGCTGTCATTTTAATGTATTTGGTGAAAGGAGGTTCCCACCTGATGACCCCAAATACATGTTGGTTATAATTTCTCACTCATTCCTATGAGGTTAATTAAATACTGATCCAGTATCAGAGATGTGTTTAATTGTTACATTTAGGGAATTATATACTGTCTGGTTAATTTTTGTAACACAGGTTTTCATTGTCTTTTACTTTGAAAAGTAAATGCATGACAGTCTCTTCACTTGCCCTCCTTTTTTAGACAGGAGATGAAAATGGGTGCAGGTTTAAGTAGGCAGCAGAATAAAATTGTATTATTTTTGTGTTTTCAAAGTTAAGCAGGGATCAATGATTTGAACACACTAACAGAAGTCCAGCAAAGTAGTAGGTGTGCCTGAGCTGGGGTCATGGCTGGGGCTGGAGCACATCTCACCTCCACAGCTGTCAGCGAGCAGCCTTCAGTCTTTGAAGTGCTAGCTCAGGAGTCCCTGATGGAGGCAGTCAGACCTGCGCTGAGACATGCTGTCAAGGTGAACGCTGCTTTACCGCCATACAAAAGCCACTTTATGACGGTGGTCTCTTTGCCTGTAATGCCCAACTCTGCCTCTAAATATGCAGGTTCTGGCTGAATCCAACCCGTCTCGCTTTTTGTTTGCGTGGAGAAACTTTGATGAGCTCTACCTGCTGCTGGACCTCCTCCTCCAGAACCACTACCTGTCTCACTGCAGTGCATCCTTCTCTGAGAACTTTTATGGTCTGAAAAGAGTCTCTGGGGAGCTGGAACTTTCTCTTCGACTGGGGCTACATGGGAAGTTCCGCTGGCGATCTCTCCTTTTCCTGTGCCTGGTACCTTACCTCCGGGCCAAGCTGGAGGCTACGCTGGCTCGGCAGAGAGATGAGGAAGACTTCTCTATCAGGCTGGCACAGACCAGGAGTCAGAGGCTCTACAGAGCAGCTGTGGCAGCCTACCCATACATCAGCTCGGCGTGGCAGGCCTGGATCTTCTGCCAGCAGCTGCTCTTTGTCTTTGGTGTCACCAGGACTCACAGTCCCCTGCTGTGGCTCGCCAACGTCAGACTGGCTCGACTAAATGCTCGAGACGTCAGAGAGATGGAGAAGAAACTCCGCCCCACTGGCAGCCCATCTGATAAGAGGTGCGTCCTTTTTTATTTAGATTCCCTCTCTAAAAAGAGTTGCGTGTCACATTTTGGAGAAGAGCTGGTGAGAATGTAGAGATTTGAAAATGATTTGATTTCATCAACAATCTTGACTTAAAATGTAAAAGTTTAAACTCATCAAATATTAAAACTGCTGTTTTTGTGGTTTTGAATTTGAACATATAGAATAGCTGTTCACACCTTTGTGTAGCTGCCTGTTACTCTGGAGGAGTTTTCTCTCTGAAAGGGAACTAAAGCCATTTGAATGGCCCTTCAACAGATGAAGACATGTTCTTTAGATCAAGATCAAAGGTTCAATCCAAACAAATCAGGCTGATTGTAGAGTTTGTTTAACCTCCCCAAATAATTATTGACAAAAATGTGTTAAAAAACACATATTGCAAATATATTATAGAATTTTCTCCCTCAATGGTGCTTGATTCATGTTTGATACATCCCTATGAATCAGTTGCAAGCCTTGGTTTGTGTATGGAACCAATAATAAATAAACAAACAAGCACACGGAGGAAATATCTTTCTGTAAATATTGTTCTGCAGATGAGGAAAATGTAACAGATGTACCTCCTGTCGTATGTTAATGGGATCACCTCACTAGTCTCAATAGATATTATATAATCCACAATTGTGGGCTATCTAAATTAAATAACCTATTATATATTTTTTATAGTATAATGTCTTTCTGCTCTTACCAGTTGACATGTTAAAGGTTTTTAAATAGAAAATGTTGCACTTTGTTTGAAGTAATCCACTTGAAAGACCAATGACAAAAACAATAGGAAAAAACTGTATTGATTAACTCTGTGACTGATGACTACATCTCTTGTCAGCTGTTTGTCTACATACAAAGTGCACCAGGACCCTACTTTTGAAAGATAGATTTTCCAAACAAAACTATCTGCTGTCCTGAAATTAAAATCTGCCTTGACCTTTGCCTTTGGCACCATTGGCATCTACATTAGTTGTAGAGTCAATTTGATTTGAACGCTCAGATTAAATTAAAAGATTTTACTATTGAACACAAGGAGGTGAATTCTCTAGCTTCTCTTTCTTATTGGGTTGTTGAATGAATCCCTAAAAGGCAATAGGGGACATGAGGGGACATAATTAATTTTTTTCAGGAAATTGTTGCAGCACCATGTGTCGGTATGAGCCCTCTGTTGTTACAGATGTTACAGCTGTTCTGTCCTGTGTGTCCAGCCTACTGCAGAGGACGTGGTGGCTAATGTCACAGGCGGTGAGGGGCATGGCCATCTCCCTCTCTACCTCGCTGTCTCTGGGGGTCTTCTTCCTGCAGTTCCTGGAGTGGTGGTACTCCTCAGACAACCAGAGCACAGTGAAAGCGCTCACCTCCTTGCCTGTTCCTCCACCCCCTCTGCACCTGCAGCGCGGTGAAGACAGTGAGAGTTGGAGCTGCCCACTATGTAGGAAGCCACGCATTAATTCCACCGTGCTGTCCACCTCCGGCTTTGTCTTCTGTTACCACTGCATCTACACGTATGTGAAAGCCAACCGGCGCTGCCCGGTCACCAGGCTTCCAACAGAGCTGCAGCACCTCATCAAGATCTATGCGCCGGATAATTAAAAATCACTTCATATTCAAGCCCCATCATTGATGAAACGGTGAATAAAAATTTCCGACAGTTATTTGAAATGAGTTTTAAAGAGAATCAAAGGCATGTGGTTTTGGCATAGAGGAGATTTCTTATCCTCCCTCAATTTGTGTTGATCCAGGATCCTGACAGTTTTTTTTCAGGATGTGTAAACAAATCTTTATAAATTCAATAAAGAAGTATTTTTCTGATGACGATGGCCTTTTTTATTCTGGGGGTTTAAAGTAATAGAGTTGATGTGAGTGGCTCTCTCATATTGCAAATTTTGTTTCTGTACCTGTTTCTTTTTACCATTACTTTTTTTTTTTTTTTTCAGATCCCTGCCTCAAAAACCAAGTGTGGGGCATTTTGCTGTCAGGTTAAGTCTTCTTTCATAAACACTTCCCTTTAATTTTCTTTTAAGAAAAAAAAAACAAGGCATCCATTTTTCTTTTATAAAAAGAAAAAGCTCCATTAATTTTAGCCTATACTATTTCCTGAAAAGACAAATCCTGACAGCTGTAAGGGTCTGTGCATTGCTTTATTGAGTTTCCAGACAAATTTAACAAGCCCACTTTAAAAAGGAAAAAAAAATTCAGGATAAACGTCACATTACAGAGGAATAAAAAAAAAAAGGGCTTTCATTGAAATGTGAAGAATCACAATAGTCATCTTCCCTTTTAAGCTCCTGCAACATAATCAAGACAAGAAGGGAAATACAGGCTGAAATTTAAAAAAAGTGACAATTATCAATATTAGTCACAGTAATAGATTGCTTGAATAGCGTGTATTGCACATGTGAACACATTTATGCATTTTATATACACGTGAGTCAGCAAGAACTAGACAGTCATATTGTTGCAGCAGGAAGGAATAAGCAGAAAGCAACAGCAAAGACAGAGGAGTCAGGAATGTGCTTGTGATCAGTTCCACATTAACAAAAAGCCTTGTTCTGAGAACCGAGCCAGACGAAAGAAACGCAACAGACTGCCTCCCCCCCCAAAATCAGGAGGAGGTAAAAAGGAACTGACACTTAACCTCCCACCCAAAATCCCCCCACCCTGGCTTCGTAGAATGACACAACAGTTACACCACAGTATCAAACATATCAAGAAATGTACAGTATCAACTCATGTAGAAAATAGTCTGAGTGTGTGTATGTGTAGTAGAATATGTGTTATCGCAACAGTAGAGCTGTGTGGCCGCTGGACTTGAGAGGTGGCTTGACAGCCAGTTTTAGAGTTCTGGATCATCTGTGCTTATAGTACGTGTGACCAAGCAGCAACTACCGCCAAGAATTTTGAAACAACTTTCTGTGACATCAATATTGTCATGATATTGCAGTTATTCTGACTTTACAAAACACATCAGCACCTCAAAAGGGGGAAGACTAAATTAATTTCTACTTTTTGTTTTTCATCCTTCTATTTCAGGTGGGTTTGTATTGAGGCATTAAAATGGCTATTTGGATTTTCTGGACAATCTTTTCTCAAAGGCATCCCTGGTGTTGGATCCTTGTGTACACACATAAAGCAAAGTTCAGGTGTGTACATTCTCGTTTATGTACACCTGGCTTGTTTGAGCAACAATACCCTAATTTTGATAACCTGGTAAACTGAAGTTTTTGCGACTGATATTGAGGCAATACCATATATATTTATATTTTAAACAAGGTTTATAGCAGACAAAATTAAAGTAAATGAAAGATCACATTTAAGATGTTGCCCCTTTAAACATCTATTCTAAAGAATAGGAGAAATTAGTGTTGGCAACTAAGATTGAAACCAAACCTACTAGGAGCTGGGAACAAATAAACAATGAACATGAAATGAACCCTGCTTGCTTGAAATTATAAACACCTTTGATGAGAAATTGTGCGTGGATAGCGATTTGGTTCATCCCCCAAATTAGGATATCCATATCTTGATCAGATATTTCTGAGGTAAGGTTATCAGTCGTTACATGTCTTTAATGGAAACATTCTACATGATTAAAAGACATGTAGGCCTACATCAAGAATTTAGCAAAAATAGTTAAGAAAAGACCACAAAAAATAATAATAATTTGGCTGCACGCAGAAGCACAAACTAGTTTTAGTGAAGGCAAAGCTCCTTTCATCTCTCACCCTGTTAAGCAAATCTTCCCAATTACAGAGCTGCAAGATATATTCAGCTGCAATCCTTTGACATTTATCAGTGTTTTGAACACTTTTGGCCTGCAATTCTTGTAGTGGCCACGCGATACAGCCAATGCCTCCTAAGCTGTAAGGAGAAGCATTAAGGCATCCAACTGTGCTGGTAGTTGCTGCTTGTTAAACCACATCTCAATTAGCGATACGTTTTGGTCCTTTTGTGCTTCCATAAGCTCTGCTTGAGCTTTGCTCTTGAAAGAACATTGTGTTTAATAAGTATTTTATTTTTCAGGTTTCAGTCCTACCAGTTTCACCGCTCAGTCCGCATGCACCCACACCTAAAAGCGAGGTGCTTGATTATTTGTCTAAGTGTTGGATGAGAAATATGATTAATCAATTTATTTTATAACCTGAATAGAGGAAGAATTCCTGTCTGTGACACTGAAACTGGACCATACTGTTCTTAAACTCTAGAGTGCAACCGTTGTGATATTGCTTTGTGTGGGTGAAACCCAGTAGAGGGGATCATGCAAAATAGAACTAATTGGATTGAGGGTTGTGTCCAGAGTATGGTCCAGTTCAGATTCAATGGTATTGTGTTATTTGTCAGTTTTAAGGGAAAACCCCAGCAATCATTTCATGATCCAGACAAAGCATAACCATAACTCGTTCTACCATTCAAACTGTATTTCCAGGGGTTACTTGCAAGGAGGTCACTCATAGTTCCATAAGATTAAACATAAATCAATACGTCATTCATCTATTTTAAGTGTTGTGATTACAGCTGTTTGTATGTCAAGATTGCTACTGGATTGGTAGGTGGTAACAAACAGTTTAACAGCTTCACATATTGAAACAGCCTTGACTGAAATAACTGTTGGTGGGGTTTATGTTAAAGTTGATCGTTATTGTTGGACCCTTTTGATCTGTGCTGACTTGTGAATTTTTTTATTTTCTTAACTGTAACAGAGCAACTGCACACAGTGTACTGCCCATTCATTAAGTGGATGCTGATTTTTTGTCGAGTGTTGTGGTTGATAGAAAATGTTAATGTTGATAGAATATGTATATATTCTTTCTTTTTTCATATCGTTTAGGATAACATACAGCATGAAATGAGCAGTGTTTGCTTCGTTCTTCAACAAACATATCTGACCCTCCTAAATTTTGTGTGGCGAACGTTTTGCTGTAATAGTTAATGACAAACCACAATCTGGGCCGATAAATAAGTACAAGTTAATTTGAATTCAGTCCAGAAGTGCCTATGTGAAGTTCTCAACCAAAAAGCTTGATAGGCCTCTCTTTGACTTCAAACATATTTCTATTACAGCACTAATTAACTAATTTCTACTGGATTTATGAACATGTTTTCCCAACAGACCTCAGGAGGTGGTGTACACCTTCTCTGTCATTACTTTTTTTGTTGTTTGATTTTCATTTTCTTGCCAGAATGGAAATGAACTGAATGTCACAGTCAGCAGCAGTGCAGCTGATGCTGTATTTTCATTTGCAAACTTGAGTCCCAAGTTGTTCCTGTAAGGTTAGCTGGAGTTATGACTTGTTCTTAGTTTTGAACAGAAAAACTGACCCTTAAGACATTTAAGCATTGAGTTTTTCCCTTTGGGTCAGTAAAGCTTCAAATATTTGCATTTTTGGTGCTAATTTAGCATACTGCAGAATGTCTATGGTACACCCTAAATCTTGGCACATTTTCCCAGTATAGTCAGGATCAAATCAATATCATGCTTAAAATTACAGTTAGAAGTCTTGAAATCAGCAGATAGGTCGACACCTCTTCATCTCGTCCAAGTTATTTCCATGTAGAAAAAAAGTGTTGCAGCGGCACCAAGATAAGAGCTGCATATGTCAGCCTTGTGATGGTTCAGCCCTCCCTTCCCCATCTTGGATCAAACATACAAGTTTAAAATTCACCTTTTATTTCCCCTCTCAGGAGGAAATGAGCTTATGATCCTGTCACTTTGCCTTCAACACCATCCACTGAGTGGATTTCACGATCCACTCAGTGGCTGTCAGTCAGTCTGCTGCTCCTGAATCAAAGCTAATGAGCTTCTCAGTCTGAGTTAATGGAGAGGAACTGCAGTTCACTTCTCCTCTTTGGAAAAATAAAGAAAGAAAGAAAACAAACTACAAAAACCAGCCCCCTTCAGCTCCTGTAAACAAACAAACAAGCAGGCTGCAGTGATGGGCAACACCATCAAACCCTGTGCTTATTACCTGTCAAACAGCCAAACCCTGAAAACATCAAATCTTCAAACAGAGTATATTTAGATATCCAATCTGATTGGATAAAACACTGTTCATACATATTATATGTTATTTTTGCTTTTATACAAAAAGGAAAAAGTATTTTGTATTTTATACATATCTGTATGTACAGAAATAGAAAAGTTACCTCACTCCACTCCATTAGCAATAACATGGCCATGGGCAACGGGACAATGGACAGTATTTACACTAAACAGGAATATTACAATTAAAAAGAAAAAAAGCAAGGTGGTGGTGCCAAAATCCAACAATCCCCTTTAAGGGAAAAATGGTCGGGGGTTGTGTCACACGGCTAAGAAACACACTAAGAGAGATAGAGGGCTGATGGGTGGCGATGAAGTTTGACACAATGAATGCTGGTAAAGCTGATCCTGCAATGCTCAGTCAAAGTGTGACTGAATATCACTTCAATGTTTACTCCATAGTAGTAATGACTAGAGGCTTTTCTTCCCTAAAAAAAAGAAATAAGACATAGCAATCTGTCAAGAATACTTTCCCACAGTATTGTCAGATAATGTAATTATTAGTCGGTGAACACAGAGTATGTACATATCAGCCCTCACGATGCTCTCCGTCTCTCTCGAGGTCGCTAAACTGTGAAATTAGGACAAACTAAGGCATCCAGATGACGAAACAAAGACTCAAAAATACATTGACGGACTGTAACAACAGCAGCAGAGTGTGTGTGTGTTTCTTAAGTCCTGATGGGCTGCTTGGTCTGCTGAGGTGCTGTGGCAGTGATTCGTGGTTTCTGATTGGACGGTTTATTTCTGTGGACAGAAAAAAAGGCACCGAGTTTCTCCTCTGCTCATTGTAAAATATCTCTACACTGCCTGCTCAGCTCGTCTGGGATGCACAACAGGCAAGGAGACCAGTCGTCAGCTTGCCGTTGGACATTTGCTGCAGGAAGTTAATCTTTCCAGCGCCCTTCGGTGGGAACAGAGGAGTAGGGATGAAGGAAAAAAAAGGTAGAACGACAATAGAGTGGAAAAATAAAGTTGAGTGGTGCAGTGTACAGGTGCTGGAGTTTACAACAGGACCAGAAATGTGTCCTTGCTAATGCTTTCCCTCCTCTAGTTTCCACGGAGATGCTGATAAGTCGTCCACTCCTCCCTGGATGAATCAGCCAGAGGAAAAGAGTTGCATCCAAGTTTCTCACAGGACTCGCATTTTCCTGACTCCAATATCTTCTCAGCCAATCAAATTCCTCGACATTAGCACAGTTCCACTCCGTGTGTGTGCACGCACACATACTGCACAAATGGAGAAAGAAAGCAGGAGGGCAAAGAGGTGCAAGGAGGAGGTGAAGATGTTTGTGTGCTTCTAGTCTGAGCTCCTCTTACAAGACTGGCTCTTCCTCCATTGGCTCCTCTGTGGACCTGCAAGTGGTTGGCATCAAACATCAGACAGAGCAGATTTGTGTCGGAACACAATAAAAAAATGTATACCTGGGATGTAACCATATTCCATGAACATTTTGAGATTTTTGCTGTAAAATTGCATGAAGGAATAATAGAGTGGTCCAATACACAACAGTACAATTGAGTTCAACTGAAGGAACTTCCCTGATACAGATACAGCACGATAACATTTCACAGTAATGTCTCATAAACTCCTGGGACACTTAACCTCTAGCCGTCTTTGGCTGAATTTGAATAATTTCAAAAGTTAATATAACTTTGGTGTTCTTCCATATTATTGCCTGAAAATGACATGGGTGGTTTCTTGTTATGCTATTTTTGCCGGCATTTAAAAACTTAAATAGTTTGAAATAAAGTATTCTAAATAAACCTTTACTGCATTTTCTGGACATTTCTGGAAAATTATTTACAAAATGTACAAAATCAAGGTCCAAGAATAAACATTTGGGAGAGTTAATAATCTACACAATATGACAGAACAACAGACTGAATAGGTATTAATGTAACACATTCATATTTAGCAACAGAAAAGAACATACCTGACTAGGTAGGTTTGCTGACTAGGCAAAATTAACATAACAAACCAACAAGGCCAACAAGCAACCGGTTGGAAAGTTCTCCAAACTCGCAATTTCATTCCACATAACTTGGTTAAACTACAGTACCTATCGTGATAACACAACAACATATGTGTATTTGATGACATATATATATTTATATATATATATCATATTTTATAATATTTATTTATTTATATAATTAATATATCCTGCTGTTTTTACTAAAAAATAGGAATACATTTATGTAAATAAGGTCTATTGTAGCATACATTCAGAGTAAATGTAAAATTTGTGGTAACGCCTTGGAAATAAGTTGACAAAAGACATAACAGAATTATGCCATCATTTTACACTTCATGATTTTTCAAACAGTCAAACAACAACCTGGAAGGACAGAAGGTGTGATTATATCCTACCATTGAAAAATATTGAAATAGTTAGGATCCTGACTAAACTTGAATATGGTTCATCCAGCTCTGTCTTTTGTCTTAACCATAGTAAAACTAATGAAGGATTTCTGTTGTTTGAGGAACATAAGTTTACATAAATGAAGTCCTTAAACAAAAAAAGAAACTGTCCGTGGCCAAACTTTCATTCATGTAGCATAACCATCACAGAGATCGGAGCACTTTATGGCCAACAGATTTTCGTTTAGAAAGAAAGACATTGGGAAATGGTTGATTTAATTAATAGATTGTTAAAAGTACTTAGAATAATAGAAAACAAATATTAATGTGTTTAAGGCAACTGAAAACCAAAACTGATTTTATTATCACTATTATCAAACTATAATCTTATATTAGTTTGTAATGTTAAGAGCTTGTTTTGCTCTTCAGATGTAGTTGTTGAGTATTATGTAATAAATGATGACATTACAAAAGTTATAACAATTCTTTTCTGCATCTATGAGCATGTAAGGGTCCATAATTACCTTTTGAGGGCTTGTGGGACAAAGGTTTTGAGGTTTAATGTTAAACCAGCAGACAATTGTAATATATGAAACATTGTCATGAGTGGTCCCATACATCCACTTTTTTCCAAAGAAAAGAAAAACCTCAGTCAGACCATCAGCTGATGGACACTTTTTGTTGTTTTGTCAGTTAGCAAATTTATGCTACTTTAAGGTAATAAAATGATGGTATTACCATCTTTGAGAAATTAATTTTCTCATGCAAATTTGAGCTTTATTCATTCAGCACAGTTAAGCTGTCTTAAAATAATAAATGGATGGCACAATGTGTTTTGCAACAGCAATGCCATAAAATGCACACTGGTTGTTATATCACGTTCACCACAATGCAAACAGAACTGATCCAAATATAAACAGTCCATATTTCAGCTAAAAACCTTTGCTACAGAAATTGGAAGCAGATTTATCTTTAAAAAAAACTTTGATTATGACCAGTTGGACAGAAGTCCACATTTGTTCACAATGGTGTCAACTCTGTTTCTGCTGGACCACCAACACCTTAAAGTTTTTGTTTTTTCCTACTTTTGTGCCAACTGACCTGCTGGTTTCTGCGTCTTCCGAAACAGAGCCTGATGGCTCCACATCGACACTGAGGGAGGCCATGGCGCTGACTGTTTCTGCCTCATCCCTCTCCGATTGTCCCTGAGCCCCATCCAGTAGCGAGTGTCCGCTGGTCTGGGTCAAACTCTGGAGACAGGGCCAGTGCTTACCTGATTGGATAGAAAGCAACACAGAGGTGTGACTGGGGAATAAGACAGGAGGTGGGTTTAGTGTGATCGTGTGTGGGTGAAAATGCTTCTCACTCTGGATCTCTATCACTGTCTCCAGTGAGGCACAGGCTTTGGGACATGGCTTTTCCTGAGGCCACTGAAACCCAGCGTCACTCTGAGAAGAACAGAGAGTAAGAATTTGAGAACAAAATAGTCTAAATCAGTGTTTTTCAAGGTACATTTTTTTAATTGAAAAAGTCCCAAGGCACAGCTCCGACCAAAAATGTTAAACAAATGAGACCCTGTAGCCGCCTATATTAACAATATAGTTATTCTCTTATCAAACTGTCTTGAATAGAAATCAAATAAACACAAAAATGTGTTTTTATCATATTTTATATTTCTTCTTTCAAATTGCACTTAACATGTCCACTTAAAAAATACACCTGGAACAGTGCCACAACAATGTGGTCTTAAATTTAAAGAGGTTGTAGAAAACTTGTGTTTTACAAACCCTAATTTTGTCTGAAAGCATTGTAATCTGGAATACAGAAAATAACGCTTATTCTTAGAAAAGCAATACGATTTGGGAAAGATTTCATGTTACTATATGAAAAGTTGCATGTACAAAATGCCAATCTCAGTATATTTGACTTAGTGTGAAACCTGTGCATGTTTGGATGAACACAGAGCTGATTTCCTGGCAGGAATTGAAGAAAGACACACACAGAGCTCTTCCTCAACAGCTCTCAGTCTCTCTGTTCTTACTTTTGACATCTTCAGGTCCAAGCATCTCATTTACAATGGCTTTGCAGGCGGGTAATATTAATGTCTCTGGCAGAGTGCATGACCTGTTTCATTTCGCTATAAGTTCAGCTATGTGGTAGCTAGCTTTAAGGGCTCTCTCATTTACCTTTGTGGTTTTTCTCATAAAAGTTGCCTGTTTCTCCATGTGTTAACGCAGGAGAACAAAATAGTCTGCATTCTTGTTTTCAAGCGAAGGGTGTTTCGTTTGGAGATGGCGTTAAAGCTGCTTGGTAGACTCCACATACCAAGCACAACAGAGTCGGTGTTGTTGTATCCCGGGTAAAAGTAAATCCAAATGAAATGTAACTCTCACTGGTTTGCCTCGAGTTCACGGTATTTGTCTTCTTTTGATATCCACTCATACTAGGGGCTTCATGTGGGTCAAGGGCCCAGATTGAAGTTAGTTTTTTTTCTTTTCAAAAACTTCTCCATCACAGTCATTACAGTTTTGCTAGCCACAATGCTCTCACCGCTACCTGTTACATTCATACATAACGTAAAATACAATTCGCTATCTGTTGTCATCTAGTGATGAGGAATTATAACATGATTACGGCACCAGTCACTACTACAGCACGGAGACTCGAAAATGGCATATAATTTGCAGATAATTAATTCGTCATCACAAAATCTTTTAAGACCAGTTAGGTGAAATTGGATAATTTTTCATGGCACACCTAACGATCATTCACGGCACACTAGTGCCGCAGCAAAGTGGTTGAAAAACACTTGTCTAAATGCTCTCTGACAGCTTCCAAAACGTTCAGACTGAACAACAGCATGATCCTACATGCCGTGAAAATGCTAAAAATCACTGCTGAAATGCTGAATCTCTCTCTCACCGGGTCTCCCAGGAGCGCAGACACACAGGCCTCAGAAGCGTCACAAATAGCGGTGAGGTCATGACCACCTTCCAGCGCCATGACAACCCGCCCAGCCGCCAGACCCATCAGCAACTGCGTTAACTTGCCGAAACCTGCCAATGCACATATTCAGTTCAGAAATGCAACTTGTGGAACAATGTCACCATGGTAACCTACACTGCACTCACACTTGGCTGAAACGTTGTAGCCACCAAGAGGAGACTGATGACCCTCCACAGCGTCGAATCCTGCAGACACCAGGACTACATCTGGGCTAAACTGCTGGGCAATAGGCATCACCACATTCCTACAGACAGAAGCAGAGGATGTAATAAAAGCTGTACCCTTTATTTCCATTTCCTGATCAATACCAATACAGATACCAAAGTAAAAGTATTTTGTAATTTCCAATAAGAAAAGCAAGGGTGTCCAAATCAGATCCTCCAGGACTGCTGTCCCGTAGATTTGAGAAGTTTCCATGCTTCAATATACAATGTCAATGTGTCATTAGCAGACTTTTGCAGAAATCTCTTTGATTACATCCACTGAATCAGAATCAGGTCTGTTGAAGCAGGGAAACATCTAAGACCTGCAGGACAGCAGCTTTCAGGACAACATTTAGACACCCCTGTTTCAGAGAAACCAGACTCAGTTTTCTTATAACATCACTGCAGAGTTAACAGTAGTATTGGTACATAATTTATTATATAATACATTACATTATTATTTCTAATGCTATACATTTTACTACATATGACACTTTTGGGGGTTTACCATCAGTACCTACTCAGCTCTACACGCCTTGGCATGGCTCAGTTATGGTAGTTTTTCATTACAAACTAGGGCCAAGCATACAAAAGGGGCAATCGTAAAGCCATGTCGTACCGAGTAGGTACTAGTAGAAAAGTGCCATTATAGCCCTTTTCTATAAATACGTAGTCAGCCTGACTCACCTTTAAATAACTCACTGCGATTTAGCTGTTTTATTTAATAAAAATTAGGTCATTTTGGTATGACAACCTGAAAGTCCTGTAATGACATTTTGATGAGACAAATATGACGGACATTGCAGGGATAACATACTGAGTGAACCTTGTTGTTGGACTGTGTATTTCAAATATGTAGTGTTGATCACATAAATAATGATGTTGCATCTTTTAAAATTAAAAGATTAACTTAATCTCAATCGGTTTCATGAGTTCCTGACCAATCAGGTGCCTGCAGTCTGTCATCACCTCAACTATGCTCACTTTGAAGCCCAGTCAAATTGTGTCAAGCCAAGTTGCGCTGAGCGGAAAAGGCTCATGAAACCACTTGCAAATTTGGAACTTTTAAACACAATTTTTTTTTTTACCTAAAAGCCGTGAGGTACTCCACATCTCCCATAGGGGGCTCCACCCCTCCAGTCCATGCTATGTTCACGTTGAAACCAGCACCAGCACCTGAACCCACCTGTGTTGAGAAAAGAAGTGTAAGAAATGGCTAAGTAAATAGCTAATTTAACTTTCAAAATAAATAGAAAATACGTTCAGTTAATCACATCAGAATTGTTGCTGAGTGTTGGTGGTTTAGGGACACTATAGACATTGAGCATCAAACTGATAACTACAAATCATCTTCAGTTAGGATCACACCAGCTGCAGTTTATATCTTCTAAAGCACAAAAAAATATTATTATACTTTGACATCATACAGAAAGTTTGAGTTATGTCCTCGTGCTCTTCACCCCATCATTGGTTCAACTTAAAACTTATGTTTTATGTTCCCATTCCATCCATCCATCCATTGTCTGTACCGCTTATTCCTGCTGACATAGAGCGAGAGGTGGGGTATGCCCTGGACAGCTCATGTTCCCATTAGTTTTTTATTATTTCCATTTTCTCTTTTTTTGTGAAAAGAAAGTTCAACTTTGGGTGGTGTGGTGGTTAGCACAATCGCCTCACAGAGAGAAGGTTCTGGGTTTGAGTCTCAGGGGACCCAAGACCTTTCCGTCTGGAGTTTGCATGTTCTCCCTGTGTCCGCGTGGGTTTTCTCCGTGTTCTATGGCTTCTTCCCACAGTCTAAGAACCTGCATGTTAGGTTGATTGGACATTCCAAATTGCCCCTTAGTGTGTGTGGTTGTTTGTCCTTGTATGTCTTGTGTGTGGCCCTGTGATGGACTGTCCAGGGTGTACCTCGCCTATTTACCACTGGGATAAGCTCAAGTTCTCCCTGTGACCCCATTAGGGAACAAGCGGTAATAATGATGGATGAAAGTTCAATTTCACTCTTTGGTAGCCTCACATTTTAGACATTTAAAATTAGACCAAAAGATCCAGAAGAATGTGTATTTAAGATGCAGAGCAAGTAAAAGAGAATAAAATGTAAACCTATCCTTTCCTTGATCATCATGGTAATTGCGAGATCACTGGTGGATAAAATGGACAAACTTGGGGCCTCAATGGAAAGCCTCATTAGTCAGCAGCTGAGGCTTTCCAATGTAACAGATACAGGTAAGAAGTACTGTCCATTTATGGCAATCTTTGGTTTTAACCACTCCTCTATCTAAGCAACACTTAAACTTTTCACTTTTTATTTATCTCATATTTATAACAGTAATTCCCACTGAAACATACAGTATTTACCCTCTGGGGATTGATAGTCTTATTGAAAAGTAATTAGTTAAATTATGGAGGCGTTTCAATTTTTTTCAACTCATTTACCATTTCAATTGACATGGTCTCTGAGGGGGATAGATTTACTCTATGTATTCTTTCATTACATATATAAAAAAAAGAAACCCTATGAAGCACTCAGCCATGTTACATGGAGTGACTACCAGGTGAAGGGCATGGATGTGAATCTACAGGAGACAGAGGGGAAGATTATTGGTATGTATTTTCCTTTTTGTTTTATCGTAATTTCCTTTTTCTTACATAGTTAATGGGGGATAAAAAGAAAGAGGCCTGAGTTACTTTCAGGCAGTTACATGTGGCTGCATACACAGGATACACTATACAAGGGCTGTCAAACTCCAGTCCTCGACGATCCGCTGTCCTGCAGGTTTTAGGCATTTTCCTGCTTCTGAACACCTGATTCTTATTAAATTGGATCTTCTCTGGACATTTTTTATCTTTTCACCACTCTGCTAATGGCTCTTTGATGTAAATCAGGTGTGTTGAAACATGGTTACATCTAAAACCTGCACAACAGCGCCCCTCGAGGACAGGAGTTTGACACCCCTGAACTATACTATAGCTTTAAATTAGGGCCCCCCAAACCCTTCATCCTACGACTCATAAATGAATGTTGCAGGAAACTTGCAGCCACAGAAAGTGGATGATGCCCATAAAATTCAATTCCCAGCCTTTGGCCCACTCAACAACAGTCACAGCAAAAAGACAGAACAGTTTACTATTTACTATTACTGGACCACTTTTATTACAGCTAATTACAGTAATAGTGTGTCCCCAGTCCAACGGTCAGTCGGAACGGCTCAATCAAGAGTTGGACACAGGGATGCGGTCCCTGGCATCTCAAAACTCTAAATACTGGTCCAAGCATCTCATGTGGGTCGAGTATGCGCACAATTCCCTGCCTTGCTCGTGTACTGGCTTCTCTCCCTTCCAGGTGGTGTATGGGTTTCAGCCGCCTCTGTTCCCTGACCTGGACAGTGAGGGGAGGGTACCATCTGCCTTGGCCATGGTCCGCAGGTGCCGCCGTTTCTGGGCTCGTGCTCACCAAACACTCCTAAGGAAGTCTACAAGCTATAAAAAGGCTGCGGATCGCCGGCGAGTACCTGCTCCCTCCTTCCAGGCAGGGCAGACGGTCTGGTTGTCCACCCGTAACCTCAACCTGCACGGGGAGTCACGTAAGCTTGCTCCCAGATTTGTGGGCCCATTCCCTATTTCTAAGATCATCACTCCTGTTTCTGTCAGACTAAGGCTGCCCAGGACCATGAGGGTGCATCCCACCTTCCATGTTAGCTATATTAAGCCAGCACCACAGAGCAACCTGGTTCCCGCCTCCAGACCCCCGCCTCCGCCGCGGTTCATTGACGGGGGACCTGTCTACACCGTCAAGAAGCTGCTGGCTGTCAGGCGACGCGGCCGAGGATTTCAATATCTGGTCGATTGGGAGGGTTATGGTCCTGAGGAGCGCTCGTGGGTCGCTGCCAGCAACATTATGGACCCTAGCCTCATTAACGACTTCTACCACAACCATCCTGACCAGCCTGGACCATCCAGTAGCCGGGCTTAGAATGGGGGGTACAGTCATGGGTGTCTTGTCACGTTTCCTGTTTTGTTTTGTAGTCCTTCCTGTTTGGTCCCAGTGTTGCTTTCCCACTTGCTTTCTCTTGATTTCCTGACTCCTCCCTAATTACCTCCACCTGTGTCTCATTGTTTCCTTCCCTGTCTGGTGTATATAGTCCCCAGTCTGTCTCTTGTTCGCTGCGTGTTTGTACTTGTCTTTCGTCAGTCGTTCAAGCATTCTAGTCTCGTCTTGCCTTGTTATCCTGACCTTTGCCTGCCTTTTCTCGACCACCGTTTTTGCCTGCCGTTCTTGTACTTTAGCCTGATCTATTGCCTACCCATGTACCAACCTTTTTCTGGATTAAACGACCCGATAAATAGTGGTCCAGTAATGGTAAATAGTAATGGTAAAACACATCAGGCATGGGTGAAGTGAAGTGATACTGTATGTATGAGAAGTAATATTTACAGGTGATGCCTATGTTATGTGTGTGGGCCCAATGGTTGGCACAATGAGCTTGACTTTTGAGGCGGCAACTTGCAGATCAGCCTCCACGTCTAGGCATGATCTTTCCTTATCATGAATGGAAGTCAGTACTGAAAAAGTCTTTTCACAATCATATGTGGCTCTAATGCCCTGAAATCAAGTTCTATAATCTTAAAGTTTTAGGTAATTAAGTGTTATAGGAGGACTTTAGTGACGGTTTCCTTTGGTTGGTTGTGACTAATTTTACTTTTACAAGAAAAGGCTTGAAGTTATTGAATTAAAGCCTTGGATCCTAATAAGAGATGGTTGGCCAAGAAAAAACAACACTTACCAGTAAAATATTGTTTTGGTGCTGTAAGATGGCAAGGAGCACTTTAAGTATGGCAACATGATTCGGCAAATATCTTTTTAAAATCTGATTTGATTTCCAAAACTCATCTCACACCTCAACCACCTTTTCTTATGACCCCACAGAGGATCACTGACTTCAGCTCTAGGAAAGACTAGTCACGAGTTTGTATTAAAATTAATGCTTTAATCATTACAGAATAGCCTGTGTGTATGTCTCTGTACCTCTTCGGGGGCTCCACTGCCAGGGAAGAAATTTCCGTCATCGTACCGATGGAGGGAGATGTAAAGAACGTCAGGATCATTGTAGAAGGCCTGCTGGGTGCCATTGCCATGATGGATGTCCTGCAGTGACATGTAACAGTAAAATGAATGTTAAGGTCATCGTATAGGACACATCAAGCAGTGAATAAGTCAAGAAGAGAAGAAACATCTAAACATACATACAAACAGACATAACAGAAAGCTTCAAACCCTGATGACGACACATCAAGACTGTTTCTTTCCACATATTTAAAGCTACATGTGGCAACAGAGGCTGTCGGAACCATTGATGATGACCTCTGATGATTTCTACAACAATGTCCTCTCTGCTATCGTTTCCTTCTAGGTGCTGGTCATCTAACTTCATACTTAAACAATATTACTTCAGAGAAGAGGCTGACCAAGTAAAGTTTAAATAGAATTGAATTTAAATCAACGATGTCGTTGTCCAAAACAAACAGCAAAATGACATGCAGTAAATACACATGGCGCTTCCTAATCGCTCTTTTCCTATGTTATAGTGTAATACTGAATGAAACAGAAATATGTTTCTGTGCAATCTGCTGGTCTCCTTAGCAAGGAAACATTTTCTGATTAAGTCATTAATGAACTGTAAGCGGGTGGCACGGTGGTGTGGTGGTTAGCACCATCTCCTCACAGCAAGAGGGTTCTGGGTTTGAGTCCCCGGGGAGCCAGGACCTTTCTGTGTAGAGTTTGCATGTTCTCCCTGGATCTGCATAGGTTTTCTCCGGGTTCCTCCCTCCGTCCAAAAAACCTGAATATTAGGTTGATTGGACATTCCAAGTTGCCCCTGGCTGTTGGTCCTTGTGTGTCTCTGTGTAGCCCTGACTACTGGGATAGGCTCCAGCACCCCCCCTCCATAAATAAAAACAAGTGTAGTGACAGTTTCAGGGTGTTTGTGTGTGTGTGTGTGTGTGTGTGTGATAGGGTGTTAGTGTGTGTGTGTGTGTGTGAGTGCCACTGACCCAATCTACAATGAGGATCTTGCCTACACCAAGTTTCTGTTGCAGCAGTTTTGCTGTGATGGCAACCGAGTTGAAAAAACAAAATCCCCTGTAACAGTTCAAGACACAAACACACACATTTAAAATTCTGCCATAACCCAGATGTGGAGGCCTACTGTCAGATGTAGTCTTTCAGAATAATGACACAGTACTGACATGGCTGTGGATTCCTCAGCATGGTGACCCGGGGGACGCACCACAGCGAAGCCATTCTACAAACAAATATAGATAGTTGGACTGTTGGGCTGACAATTTGTAACCTTTGAACTTGTAGGCGTGCGTTACCTTCAGCTCTCCTGATGCCACTTTGAAAGCAAGTTCAATGACCGAGCCCACTGCCATGCGGACTGCTGCTGAAGAGTGCATCTCATTCCACACAGTGTCACTGTCCACCTGAAAGGGGTACGGACACAGAGCTCAGAATCCTAAACACAGATTTCCACAGTTGTTTATAAACAATAACGGCATGCAAGAGAGAGAGATTCTCACCCCGATTCCTCCACAGGGAAGAACAGCGTACATCTTCTGACTGATTGGACCTACAAAACAAAACAGAAGACAGTATTAGTTCCTGTATCAGAATTCTGTGAAATGATGAAAGAGAAACAATTGAGAAATCTGCATCCAACACTGCTTCAAACCTAATAAATCTGTGAATAAAACAATTTTCAGAATAATGAAAACTCTTAACTAACCCTGTAACGGACAATAACAACATCGGTAACTATATCCACAAAGATAGAGACAAATGAACTCCCCTAAAATGTTTTATAAAAATCATATGAAAAGGAAAATCAGACTTAAATGTTCTTTATTTTGAAAAGTTACCCAGAAGCTTCTTGTGGTCAAGTTTGTGCCGATTGAGTGGACTGGTTCCATACAGCAGAGTGTGGAACTCTGAGTGGACCGACTGGATCTCATCAAGAGATGCTTTCCGCCCACGGATTCTCTACACACACAAAAAGAAACAAAAGTTTACTTTTCACACGTGTGTCGGCTGAACTATTTGTGAACTATTTTGTTTTTCTTCTTCTTATCTTATTTCCAATTACATTCTTTGCTACTTTGTAAAATAATTTTAGAGGTTGAAATTATGTTTTAAACCCTTCAGGAGGGGTGGATGTCATGAGCCATCTACAACTGAGGTGAAAGCACCAGGTCCAGATAACAGGTTGTGTGCATTTGTGTGTAACATGTAATCTGTAAGAATAACGACACAGTACTGTGGATTCCTCAGCATGGTGACCTGGGGGACGCCCGACAGCTTGTTCTACTAACAAGTATAGATAGTTGGATACCTCACAGCGGCCCAGCAAGCCTGTCTCTTGCAGCCTGGACCAGATGCTCTGGACCCTCCCCGCATGCTCAGGGTGTATGTGAGCATTTCCACATACACACTGATGTTTCAACATCAAACTGTCATAAACGAGCCCTGTAGGAGAGGGGAAAACAAATATTGGTGTTTTTTTGTTTTTATTCAGAGGCAAACACTCAGCTTTCAGTGCAAGATGTGGTCAAAGGAGTCTTCCTTATGTTTTTGTTTTTCTGCAGTTTTGCTGAGAAATAACCGCAGACAATAGCATGGCAAAGGAAAGAATGGCAAAGTAAATAACACTGTAAAAAGAAGATGGGAGGCAATACCATAGAATTCCACAAGGTGTCAGTACCTTAAAGTAAAACAAACATCTACATAAACTGATATCAAAGAGGAGAACAAATCCTTTCTTGAACTCATTCGTTCACTTTTCCTATTGTGTCAGGTAAGAGAACCCCTTTAGCTATTTAGAGCTATTCTCATTCATCAGGTGGCAAAGTTTATGAATCACAGTTCAGATTTGCATTTTCAAAGTCAGTGTAAACAATCTTGATGCCCACTTAACAGCTGTGGTTTTGATAGAATAACTTTTTTTTCCCTAAAAATTATGATGTCAAAATAAAATATAACTGACGGCTGAAGCTGACAGTTATTCTGCCGTCTGAGGCGTAAACACACATGAAAACACATTAAAAAGGCAATATAACTTTAGTTCTACCAAATACAAAACAGGGAGAGACAACACCTGTTGCTAGGCAACAACCATCAAGGCTTTTAGTAGGTGGACTATCACTTTCTAACGTTATCCAATCAGATGTGAACAGGGGGAGGGGGGACTGACCGGTGGTGAAGAGGTGTTTGATGGGATTGACAGTGGCTGCAGGGGAGGACTTCGCTTTTCCCAAAGGTCTGTGGGGCAGCGAAGACTGAAAGATGCCCAGCTGCTGCAAGGAATGCTGGGATGGAAGAGAGAAAGAGAAAGAGAAAGAGAAAGAGCGAGTACTTAGGATTCGTCGCAGAGATGATTCAGAAATCAGTCCATTCACTGCAGAGGAGGTGGAGGGTGTGCGTTTGTGTGTCTGCTCATGAAAGAAAATGGAAAAAAAGAGACACTACAGATAACACCGAGACCTCCTCTTGTCTGTTTTTCTGTCATCATGCGTGCGCACATGCCAGAAAACACAGAAAGAAATTACTATAATTATTTCATTCATAAAAATCTGGTTTGTTTGACGTGCCGGCTGATTGATAAAGAATTGCCACTGTTAAAGTTACTACACCTCATCACCATCCTCCTAAGTGTGTGTATGTGTGTTTTTGATTTCAAGGTTTTGGTGAGCACTGCAGCCAAACATACACGTACATTTTCTGAAGTAGTTATATATAGGGAGTGTTGCTGTGCTCCCTGCTGAGAACTGGGTGACTCATCATGCGTGGGTGGACCTTCAAACGCACACATACACTTCAAGATACACACACACACACACACACACACACACAACAGCATGTCCAGTGGTTGATTCACTTGCTGATGATGTCACTGCATCGTTAACAATTGTGTGCGTGTATGTGTGAGTCTGTCGGCCTGGGTTCGAACAGGACGGTAGGCAATATTTGAAAGGTTTATTAGAGACTTTTACTCCGTTTTGTTAGACAATGAGGCAGTTAGACTCATACATAGTCAGGTGTGTTCATCCAGAGGATGTTTACTGCATAACAATAAAAGAAGGAGGAATGCGCAGAAAGGGTGCATCATGATTTGGAGTCAAATGAAAACTGGAATTGCTGTCTTTTAGCATTTTCTCTAAAGAAAAAAACTTCCATCCATCCATCCATTATCAATACCGCTTATTCCCTGATGGGGTCGCGGGGGGAACTGGAGCCTATCCCAGTGGTCAACGGGCGAGAGGCAGGGTACACCCTGGACAGTCCGCCAGTCCATCGCAGGGCCATACACAAGACATACAAGGACAAACAACCACTCACACTCACATTCACTCCTAAGGGCAATTTCCCCAATCTCCAATCAACCTAACATGCAGGTTTTTGGACTGTGGGAGGAAGCCGGAGAACCCGGAGAGAACCCACGCAGACATAGGGAGAACATGCAAACTCCACCCACAAAGGTCCTGGTTCCCCCGGGATTCAAACCCAGAACCTTCTTGCTGGGAGGTGACAGTGCTAACCACCACGCCACCATGCCGCCCTCAGGGAAAAAAAAAAAAAAAACTTATTCTATTTAAAAACCCTTCTCTTTTAAATTTTAAGGGTCTGAAAGCATGAAAAGCATGCTCCATGTGAACATTTTTCAAATACATTTCCAGATGAAAAGACTTGTTTCTTCAAATATTTGTGAAAAACTCTAGCCAACTTAGAACTGTAGGGGGGGGGGGGGGGGGGG